AGCGCGGGGCTGTTCAGCCCCTCCAGAGCCTGACCTGATTTGGATGCGACCTCCATCCCAGCCCACCCCGGCTGCCAGCGATGGGGGCAGGCAGCTCAGCTGCCCCACGCCGACTCCTCGGGGCACCCGGGTCCCCCGGATCCCGCTGCGACTTCCCGTCCCAGCTTGTGCTGTGAAGGTGCCCACGCACAGAGCGGGCTCAGCCGTGCCCACCAGGGCTGGCCCCGCAGTGTCTCACCCCACGGCTGGTCCCCGGTGCTGCCCTCGGGAGCCACGTCCCATCGCGCCTGCGGAGGAAGCAGCCTCCAGCACCGCGCTCAGCCCTGCGAACGCGGGGAGCACGTTGCCAGAACCCGATGTATTCCTCCTAACAAGTAGCATCCCATGATAATTCAAGTCCTTCCCTCCCCTTCCATGTCTTGTCATTTTGAAGTAAATGTGTTTTATCTGAACACTGGAGGGTTTAATTTCCCTTGCCTGCAGCTGCCGCTGCCATTGTGTAGCGCAGGGCTGCGCTGCCACGCCGCGCTGGAGCGTGCCGCTGGCTCCCTGTGCCCAGACAAGCCCTCTCGTTTGCTGAGGCACGTAATTCTGGATAATTACCAGGTCTTAGAAACACGTACAAAGAACCCAACAGCTGGTGATACAGTAACTTCTAGTTGCACATTTCCCCGTGTCCTTTATCTCACGTCCTTTATCTATTTACTGCCGAGGCTGCCAGCACAAAATCAGTGTCATTACCCGATACGAGGGTGTTGTACGTGCACCAGGAGATGCAATACAGCGCATGCCATTGCTAGATGAACAGGATGAATTGCCTCTCATAGCGCATTAACGACGCCTTTATTTTTTGAACAAATCATTCATCAGACTTTTACTGTTTATTTTGCCGTTATTTGACTGCTATTGCAGCAGCAGCTCCGTGACACCCCCTGGAGCACACATGTTACCCACAGGCGCCCCTGCCCTGCCCGGAGCCCCACCGCCCCAGCCAAGGCGCATGGGAACCCCGTCCCGGGGGCCGAGCTGTCCTGCCCGCAGCCCCGGTGCGGGCGCAGGGATGCCAGCTGGGCACGCTCGCCCCACGCACACCCCCTCCCGCAGCCCCACGCTCCTGAAGGCATTTCTCACCCCGCAGCCCTCAGTCTCAGCCTGAGTCACTCATCACGCGCGAGCCATCCCCCCCTCACGCCTTTGCTATTTCGGGGCGCTCCCGTAGACACCTGGAGAGGTGGTTTTTACAGCCCGGGCAGCCCTGCCTGCAACGGCGAGAGGGTCTGAGGCACAGGCCAGAGTCCCCAGAGCAGCTCCGAACAGACACGAGCCATGGTGCGTTTTGCCAACGCCGACAGCAGCGAGCATCTCCCAGCTCCAGCACCCGCCGAAGCCTTCGCCCCCCGCTCTCCCGCAGCCGCCCGGCGCTGGGGCCCCGCTCAGCCACAGACGTTGTTTCCAGTCCTCCGCTCAGCTTTTGGCTCCTCTCATCTAGTGCGGCAGAGCTCCCTTTTTTTGCCAAGCCAAGCACACAGCACACATATGTTCTTTGTTTTTCTAACTCCGTTCCCAAAATTCACACACTTCCGCACGCTAAAACTTCCCTCCGCGCGAGCTAAGAGTCAGGATTGGCGGTGTCCTCGCTAGAAAAACAAACACGGCATTCTGGAGCGCAATCGAGCCCAGCGCTGCTCCAAGGAAGCATATGCTTTTGCGAAGCTCCACAGGTTTTCTGTGCTGTTTCAGGCTGGCCCACCCACTTTTTCCATCAGGCTGAAATAAAGTGAGAAGAGCAAACACTGCAAAGGCTTTGCCGTTTTCCTCACCGGCACCTTCAGACCGTCGAAGGCAGGATGGCGCTGCTCCCTGCCCTCCGTTCCCGCTGAATCCAGCTGTGGCATTGCACAAAGGCAGCGGAACAACAACAGCTGCCCGATGAGCGACAGAGCCCCCTCCCCGGCCCCCGGGCACAGCCCGCTCCGCTCCCACGCCGCGCCGCTGGGCAGAAACCTCCCTGTTTTCTCCCCGGCGGTGACACAAAGCTTGCAGTCACCAAACCGAGCAGCCACGCGCCCGTACAAATCACTGGGAGCGGGCAGCACCGCGCGCTTTGCATGCGACTTGAATCAAAACATGGAGTTTTTCCTGTTAAAACTGCGCGATCTGCCTTAATACGGAGAGAGGCAGAGCGGCACAGGAATCGGGGCGGTGGTGCCCAGAGCTCTCCTTCCCTCTCACCTCAACCCAATCTGCAGTTTTAAGAGGGAAAAACCAAATATTTACCCCTCTGTCCGCATCCACGTGGCTGAGCGAGCCCGGGTGCCAGGAGGAGGACATCAGGAGTTTGGGAGAGGCTCCCGGTGAAGGCAGCGACGACGCAGATGGAGGCAGCACGTGGAGTTTGGTGTTTGAGGGCTTTCCTGTGCTCCCACTGAACCCACCTCTGGTAGGACAGGGATGAGACCGGGCTGAGGGACTGACCCTGTGCCACAAGAGGCGGCCAGGGCTGGACCTGCCCCGTGGTGAGGGTTCGCAGGCGGTGCCCACAGAGCCGCCCTCGCCCCCGTGCTCTGGCGGCGGGCGCTGACCCCCGCCTGCCAGCTCCGCACCCGGAGCAGCGCCCGGACGGAGCTCGGTCCCATCCTGCCCAGCACAGCCGGCGGCAGCACCAGCACTAGCCCCGCCGCTCCCTCCCCACGCTGTGCTTGGGCTCCGGGGCGGCCGGAGCTGGGAGCCACCCGCAGCCGCGCGGGAGCAGCTGACAAGGCACCAGAGGCGGCCGGAGGATTCACTGCCCGGCTGCCTCCCTGCCAAGCTCGTCGCCAACATGCTTCGCTCCATGCAAGGCACAGTCGCAGTTCTTCCCTCAGCCTACCGCTTCTGGATAATCCCTCCTTGCAATTCCGCATGTCACTGGGTTAGCGTGTGTGCGTGCACAGAGTGTGTGTGCGTGGGTAGGGGAGCAGGGGGAAATCCAGGCAGACAGACCCAGTCTCTCCTGCCCGCTGATTAGCCCTCCCTAGCACAGCAAATCGTGCCCGAGCAAGGCAGGTAAATGTGTAACGGCACTGAATCTTGAAGTCCCCTTTTCCTTTTCATTGTTTTGCGTAGACGAGCCCTGTCAAATCTCAGCCATCACAGTGTAACGCCGGGCAGCCTCCTCCTTCCGTCAGGAGTCCTCAGGGCATCTCCCGAAGATCAGACCTAGTTAAAATCTCTACTTTCTGTGCAAAGCCCCCAAGACCGTGACAGCAGTGCTCAGTTGCCTGGAGCGTTTAAGAGTGTGCATGTGTGAACGGACATTTCCAGCTATGCATAGATGTGCTCTTCTGCCATTTCACGTCAGCATCAATCTGGCTATTAATGTGCCTGTTGTTGTGCCTCGTGCTCCTAAATGAGAGAGAAGGAGAGATTCCCAGCCCTCACCATTCTGATGTGGATGGCACTT